CCCCCCCCCCCACTCTCCCCAAGGCAGCAGAATGCTTAGTGATTGGGTGTCTTGGACTAATGTGCTTTTTGTTGTGGCTCTTATGGGGGATTTGCCAGGTTTTCAGGGTACTAAAAAAGATTACGTGGAAAAGGAAAAACAGCTTCCCAGGCATTCCCACCATAGCATTTGATGAATTTCATGGCTGTCCTTTGATCATGGGTCATGTTCTCAAGCAGAGGGACCGGGGTCTCATCTCTCTCTATAGACCCAGATGTGTCCACTGTAGGCCTGAGTTAGCAGGGGGTCCAAGCATGTTGGGTGAGGTGCAGAGATTCCAGAGCGTGGTGGCATTTAGGACCCCCCAACAAAGAGGGGTTCGTAAACAGCACCCTTTGTTTACCTCATAATCATAATAAAGCCCATCTCAGCCTCCTCCTAATGGGGTAATTGTGGAGTGCCCAGTCTCACATCTCTGGAGTAGAGTTTTATTTTGAATTTGAGCGCGAGCCCCAATGGCTATTGGGTGCCAAGCATCCTTGGGAAGAAAAGAAGGAAGCACACTGCCAGCTAGCTGAAAAATAGCTAAGCTTCTCCATTCTGACTCATCCTCCAAATTGCACTTCAGAAGGAAATACCTTCAAACTACAGTTACAAGGTTTTGGAGGTTCTTGAGAATTCTGAAGACTTTCTAGGTAGACGCAACCCATTATTTGTGACACTGAAGCCTCAGCATGTTCAGATGGGTTTGAGCCCACCTACACTCACTGCTGAAGCCAATGGTTTCATTGTATACTTCCTCAGGTTTATAGGGGAAGTAGGGAGAGAGGGAATCATGGGCAGCTCGAATCTTAATACAATTCTGATGCCTATATTGCTGAAAATGCAAGCAGTGCAGGTAGACAGGAGGGCCAAAACCTATCTGAGACACTGTCACTGGTCATAACTGCACCATATGTACCCTTGGCTTGTATGGTGATTAGTGCATGAAGAGCCAGGAAAGCCAAAGATGAAGGCCACCTCACTGAGAGCCCACTACTCATGCTCTGACTTCTCTATAGTGCTTTTCAGCTTTCTGAGTTTTCTTTGGGGCCTCAAGTGCTCTACGAAACAGCTTCAGAATAGAACACGTCTCAGTTCACCAACTTCCTTTAGCACGTCCTAGGGGCTCCCAAGGCCACTGGAGAAACTGTTGCTGGGGAGGAGAAAGAAATCTAGGCGGGCCTGGCAGTTACTACCAAAGGATATGCTGGCTCGCAACCATGGAACAAAAAGCCTACAGAACACTGTTATTGTATCCATTGTTATAGGAAAACCTTCCCTGTGACAGCATATTATTAACAGAGGAAGGACATATTTGCTCTTGTTAGTACTCATGCATCCTTCAAAATATGGCAGAATGTACCTGCAAGCAATGTGTGCCATTCACAACGTTCTTAGCTTGCTTTTATTTTCTTGGACCTCTGGAAAATATTAAAAGAATGTTTCGTGATGCCTCCAGGGAGAGAGGGCACATGCCATATGTCCTCATTCAGCAGGAGCAGAATATTAACACTTTTTGGAGCGATCTGGTGTTTAGATTCTGAAGGTTCGTACGAAGAGACCCAAGATGTGAACTCATGCAAAATGAACACAAGCGAAACTAGAGAGAAAGAAATTAATTCTGGATGGAACCCTGATAAATTCCTACTGTAGGAAGACCAGTAATGTTGGACTAAGACGCCATCATGCTCCCTGTGCTAGCTAGAAGACACAGCACATGGCTGCCACACCAGACTCAACAGATGATGAACTCTGGCAGATACCCCACATACGAAGGGCAATCTGCTAAAAATGGGAATTTCTGCTACGGTGGAAAAAACGTTAAAAAATAGTTGAATTGACTATCAGTAAAGGTATAAATGAAATATAAACGTATATAAACACACCCACACTTCCATCCATTGCCTTAAGAATGGCTTCCTTGATTTAATTTTGGGCTTCTTTCTACAGGAACAGATAGGGCATGTGTGACTTTAGATCAGATAAGCTGCATTCTCATGACGGACTCTTGGAGGCAGCAGAGCGGTCAAAGTGTGGGTTCTGGAGCTGGGCTCGGACCCATGCCTTACTAAGTACTTCCTCGTTGAGCGATTTTGGGCATTTCACTTCTCTAGGTGTTCTTTGTATGCTATAAACAGAGACAATACCGATATTATGGGATTATCATGGCAATTACGTGAAATATGATAAGGGCTTTGTACATAGTGTGTGCTCAGCAAACAGTGGTTGTTCCTGTTTGTGAAGGTGTGAAGCCTAGGAAAGCAATGGAGAATTTTCTCTATTTGGTGGTGATGCCATAAATGGTCACACTGCGTGGTGGCAGTGGGGTGATGAGGGGAAGACAAGGGAAAAGTTGGCCTAGCAGTTAACTACTAAGGGGTTTTCCATACTGCCGATTCCTCACGCCCCTCTCTTACAAACAGTGGCTGCTACAGCAGTTTGCTAGCACGGGGAATACCCTAGCTGGGTATGCTGGGGTGGAGCAAAGTTTGAGATTTAGTGCACAAGGGTATCTTGACGAGGGCTCTGTCACCTTAGTCAGGGAAGCGTCTCCCTAACAGTCGCAAAGGAAGCAAAGGTTCCTTTGCAAAAGCTGGGGAGCAAATCGGTGGACGCTGGCCAAACTAAGGACCCCTGTGGTGTCCGAGGCCCTGTGCAGACCTCCAGCTCTAAAGTAGCATGAAACTGTGCTTCTAAATCAGAGCCCCTGGGGAAGAACAAGCTGGGGGTCTTGCCAGGCTAAAGCTCCTAGTCCGAGGCATCCTCCCTGACTGGTGGGGCAGAGGGAAGGAGCGCTGTCTCACCCAGCGCTGAGCCGCAGAGGCCCAGCCTCACTCAGGGCAGAGGAAAGCGGCAAAGGGAGAGCACACACCCCAGGCCGGTCCCCAGGAAGCCAGTGGGGTGCACCCACCCCCCTCAAGGAACGAGGCAGGTTCCCCCTGACTTTTCAAAACTCTGCTCACCAGCTCTGAGAAGATGCTTCTGGCTCACCAGGCCCCTGTAAAGCAAGAATCTGCTCAAGAAAGGAATTCCAATTCGAACACCCGGCTTAGAGTTTGAGGCCACTTTAATCTGGGTCGTGAGTTTATTAGTTGTCACTTCATCTAGGAGCCACCAGCCACTGTCCTTGATTATGTACCAAAGTCTCAGGCATAAACCTTTTACTCCAAACCCCTCGCCTTTGGCCCACAAGAGTACCGATGTCTTTCATTTTAAGATATTTTAATGCACTAAACACTATTTTTGTTGGCATCAGTACAGATGCGTTTTAAAGCAAGGTTATTATATTTAATTTGATGATATATCATGTTAGAATTCACTGTATACAAAAACGTTCTGACCTCTACAAAATGGCTCCAGAAAGTGCAGAAAAAACTGCTCAATATGTTGTTTTTTTTTTTTTACCAAAATAAAAGGACTCACCTAAAAGATCTGGCAAAGTTTTGCTGAGTACATTAAAAAGGAAAAATCAAAGTCCTTAATTTATAGATTGTCCCAGAAATCACTACATTTTTCAAATCTGTTGTTAGCTGGACTTTTCTTTCTTTAAATTTTTTTTTTTTTTGTTACATCTGGAGTTGAGACATTAACCTGTTCCATATGTGCCACAGACTGCAAATAAAGACACAATCTTGGAAAACATAATGCCAAATGTCTCCTTTAAAGTTCGATGCAAATGAGATCCTTCTCACCTTTCTACACATTCCTTGACAACAGCAAAATTTCCATCCCCTATTGTTCTTCCGACTTTATACCGTTCTGTTATTGTGGCTGGAATCTGGAAGCCTTCCTCCAACACTTCTGAAAGAATCATTAGTACATTTTTATCGGTGGAAAAGGGAACACAGATGTTGCACCAGAGAGACATTTAGAAGTATCATCGGATAGACTGGAACTGATTCAGAATCAATATGTCACTTTCCGTACAGTGAGGCAAGCCCCGCTGCTGACACTCCATACTCAACAGGGTTTTACTAAGACGAATGATAAACTAAAAGGAAACATAGAACGTATGGGGTCCATTCCCACCGATGGAAGAGGGACAGTGGGGATTCTGAGGAGGAAGTTTGGCTCTGTGGGTTCCATGCCAATGTGATCAATAGTGTTTACGGAACACCCACTGTCTACAGAGAAACGACATTCCTAGGGATGGCTCAGTAGGAAAATGGAGTTTATAGGGGGCGCCGGGCTGCTTGACAGGGTAGAAGCATGAAGCATGCCTGCTGTTTGGACACTTAGCTTTACTACATCCTGAAGTGGAGATCTCCGTAAAATCCCTTATGAACTAAGCCCGGAGTGTCAGCCCTCCCCAGTATCAATGACCAGATTTTAGACAAATGTTCTCACCAGCAACCTGCATAGCAGATGTTGAGTTAAAATTGCAATATTTATTATGTCTGTGAACAGAACAGTTTTGTAGTTTCAATTATGTTAGTGCCACTAACACAACACATTTTCCCCCTTAAAATGCATTTTGAAACATTTTACAAATGCCTAATAATGCTTTAAATATCTGAGGCCATAAAACTAAATAAGCCACACTTAGGTCACATAAATATATTGGATAACCTTTACCATCTTAGGGGTGTAAAAAGCCTTTTATTGCTGGGCTCTAAAATTTACATGCTTTAAAGGTATAAATCCTAGCTCTCCCTCAGGCAAACCGAATACAAAATGTGATGGAAGGCCCAGTGTGTTTTCTAAATGTGCTCCTATTCTGACCTTTAATCATAAACTGAGACTAAACATTTCTTCTCGCAATAAAATTAAAACCTCAGGCGGTGCCTTGACTTTCTGGGTGATTTTTGTATTCTCCGTTAGTCCTCATCATTGGGGGACAACAAATGGAAACTCACAATTATCACACATGTGCGTTAGGACCCTTATTCTGGTTCTGTGATCATGCTCCATCTGTACCACTCTGGATTCTAGGGTGGATGGAATTTCTGGAAAGGGTTGTACAAAGTAGGACATTTGCTGCTGCTATTTTTACCCCTAGCATTTATTTGTGCAGCCTCTTTACCTCTTTATAGGTGACATTTTAGTCTTTACCCACCGGAAGCTATCACAGTGGTCTCCAGAATAAAGTGAGAGCTGAAGCCAATTAACACCCCTTCCCTAATCCCCACCATCTCACACCCAAAGAAGCCAATAATTTTGCCTCTGTTTGAAAGACTTAGCCTGGGGATTTTTGTCTACTCCATGGGAATTAGAGGAGATGGCTGGAGAAGTTTCAAATCCACTGCAAAGCACCCGAATTTATAAAACATCTCTCAGATGACACGGTCTTAAGGCTCTTTACTACATGGATAATAAAAATAGCCATGCTTGGCTGTCAGAAGCAAGTCTGACTCCAGATGGGAAACGGAAGGAGGCACTTCATCCGTCCTTCCAGTGGATGCATCACTGAGGCACCCATCTGGAGCACACAGCTTGGGATTTTTTTTTTTCCTATTGATAAAAATGTATCTTTTAGGCTTTTGGCTAAGAAGTCTTTGCTGAAGTCTTAGCCAAGGACCAGTTCATTTCATTAGGTAGATACAACACAGTAAAACAAAAGGCACTTCGAGATGGTTGAATTTCATAGTTCTGGAAATGCAAAAAAAAAAAAAAAATCTGATACCGCATGGTAGTCAGGAAAGAATTCATGTGCAAATCACTTATCTCATTTGACATAATCAAAGTGCTTCCCCCCAAAGGTACTTTTTCTGGAAAACTAAATAATAGCATTTCAAACAAATGAGGGATGCTGATTCTTTAACAGTGACTTGATCATATCAGTTTTATACTTTTCTAAATACTTTCTCATAATTGATTTGAGCCTGATAATGACCCCCAGCGAGGAAAGAGGCATATAGTACAGTCTTACACAATTTTATAGAAGGGGAACCAAGGTGAAAAAAAGCTGAAGAGGCTTATCCAAAACAATTCAACGAGTCAGTGAAAAAGTCAATTCTGGAATCCAGGTCATTTGACCACATCAAAGAGAAGTTCTAAAATGTACTAGCTTAAGGTACAAAGAATATTTTTTGCAATTGCTATCAAGTAATTCTTTTTGTAAGGCCATGTTTTCACACATTGAGTTCACTTAAGTACATCTGTGGGGCCAAACCAGTCAATCAAGAGAGTAAGTATACTTTAATATACTGCAAGTGATCAGAATTTGGGAAAACAAAGGCAGCCATTACTTCCTTTTATTTTCAAAGTAGACAATAGCTGGCCTTCTTAGAATACTTATACCCTCAGAGGATGTGAAATATCTCCAAATCGGGCTAATTCCCTTTTCCTGTTCCCATAGAGTAGATATGATCCCTGGGAGAAACTATATGCAATCCTATCCCCTTCCCCTGGCCCCCAGGAGCTGTGTTAAGCTTCTATTTCATAATGCTCCCAAAGTTACGGTTTTCTGAAGTAAATTTAGCCAACCCATCCTCTGCCCCCTGTACAAGGGAAGCCTTCTCCTCAGATACCAAGTTCCCAAGCTCACCACCTTCTCCAGGTCCATCATTCTCGTCCATTGAGCTGCAGACTTTGGTGGATGCAAGGGAAGTAGAGGAACCTCCATGTTGAGAGCTCTGCAAAAGGGAACAGACACAGAGAATGAAAACACTGGGTCAGGGTGCCAGTCTCCAGATGCTATGCCCAGCCCAGAATCTCGGGAAGTAACTGCACCCGTCACCAGGGAGGATTTGCTCTGAACACTCGAAAAGGGAGGTTTTTATTCAATTGGATTGCTTCTCTTTCCCACCCTATTAACCAGTAATGGATGGTTTAACTGTGTCAGGATAATCACTCTAAATTTGGATGTTCCTTGACTTTCTATTCCTTTTTCTCAAAATCAGCATCCCACAGCTTACTGTTTAGGTTTGTCAGATTTTAAGCATCTCACCTCACTTTTCCACAGTCTATCTGCAAACAGGCCTCAAATATGGTGCCACTCTGATCTCATCCAATGAGTTTTCTATTCTCGCCATAGGAAAAAAAAATCCTCTTCAGTTTATTTTATGGAATTTTCCAAAAAAAAATATTGAGGCTTACCACATCGTTGGAGAAAGGTTATAGAGTGGGTTTGTTAATTCCACTTTGCAATAAAGACACAAGTACTAAGCCGGTTATCGATATGTTAACTGTTACAAAATAAGTCTGAGGCAAAGACAGGAATAAAAGCCTAAGCCTGGTGATTCCCTTGTATTTTTGGTGTATTTTGACCCAAGACCAATGAGAGCAGACAGGGTAACAGCTCTATTACAAAGCTCAGAGGGTGAAACAATACCAAATATTTAGTACTATGATTAGCTACAGGGCAGTACTTTAACAATGAACCTTCCCATCTCTGCATCTATTCCTTGAGAAAACAATCTGCACATTTCAATGCTATTTCTAAACAGTGAACACAGCTTGTCCTAAAAGATCTTCCTTCTGTTTCCCTGGGTTTATCCACTTGGTTGGCCTGATGGGAGCAGGAGGCGGTGAGGGGGCGGCATTGGCTCATGGTGCCGGCTGTCTGTGGAGCAGAGAGAAGGGAAAGAGCATCTGTAGTTGAATTAATAATGAAGAGGTGGCGAGAAGCAAAGTTGACCTATTTTTCTTCTGCTTACCTGTTTCCCTTCACCCTCCTCCCCATTGCATCCAGCCTTAACAGGACACAAAGTAGGAGGGAGGAGAAAGTTTTATGTAATTCCTTTACCCCCAACAGTACCTTCACGTAAAAGCAAAGGTTATAGTTTTCACCAAAAAGACTAATATCATTCGGGAAATGTTACTTAAATCACTGCAGGGCCATTTGAGTCCACTGCCTGTTCTCCCAGGTTTGGCTAAGATAAATATGCTCCATTGGACAAGTTGATCAAAGCTGACAGCTGACACTGGGGTAAAAGTTAAATTCGCGGAAAGGATACATCTGCTTCTGTATAGGGCTTCCCAGAAGTTTTGTGGTTACTCCAGAATACCCCCGAAGGCCACATAGTTTGTGTGGTGTGCCCTTTATTTTCCTATATCATGAGAATTCCCCCATCAATCAATCAGCCTGGTGACTTGAGTGGGGTCTTTTCCATCTCATCTAGCCTCCCTTTGTGACCAGCAGAACACATTTATCCTATATCAGGCTAGAAAGAGGGATTCAAATCATGACATCGAAACAGTTTTCTCTTGAGATGATACTATGTAGTCATAATCAACTCTGTCGAAGGTACTGTAAATGTATGAGCTTCTGAGTCACGCTCTGCTGACTTTTACCGAAGTCTGTGTGTGAAAACCTTGTATTTGTAATATTGGAATAAATACAAGGCTTAAACAAGGCAGATTTACGATGTCGGTGTCTGGAGAAAATAAACATTAACATTACCACATTTGAGAGGAAGGTGTGTGTTTTCCACAAAGTGAGGTCTTTTATCCCTTGTGTCATTGCTTTTGCTGTAGACATAATGTTGTTCCAAGCAGAAAAGCAGTAAGTAAATGTCTAAAATGTAGACCTTCTCTTCTGGGCTTTCCGATCCTTGAATTTCTTCCAGCAGCATCACAAGTGGTGTTTAATAATGTAGACACATTGCGGTTTGGGGTGGCAGGTGCTGTCTTGTCATATGGTGTTTTAAATTTTAGAATACAAAGACACATTCTTTCATCAAGCACTCGAATTAATAGACTAGTAGCATGTTTCCTAGCAAAGATGTCCACAGTTATGCACTCAATTCCAAAAGCTTGTTCTTTTAATAATATCAGATACTCAAAACAGAACTCTGACCCAGGGGCACCTGGATGGCTCAGTCGGTTAAGCGTCCGACTTCGGCTCAGATCTCGAGGTCCATGAGTTCCAGCCCCATGTCAGGATCTGTGCTGGCAGCTTAGAGCCTGGAACCTGCTTCGGATTCTGTTTCCCTCTTTCTCTGCCCCTCCCCTGCTCACACTCTGCCTCAAAAATAATAAATCAACATTAAAAAAACAAAAAAGAACCCTGACCCAAAGTATATGAAAACATCTTTTAAACTGTAATGTGCTATAAACTTGCTGGATATTATTCACTTAAATGCCTTATCAACTAACTAATTGCATTTTTAACAGTTCAGCCAAACGTCTGATGCCCTGAATGCTTGCCACAACGCCAGCTGTGTTTTCTCTGCCTTATGGACAAAAACCCCTCAAGGATTTTAGGCTCTGGTTTGGAAAAAAAAAAAAAAAAAGGTAGCATTAACACAAGTTTGCTTACGTTTAGAATTGCTTATTTTCAACTTCAGGTTTGAAAATGTACCCAAGGTAATTTCAAATTTCATGCTGAGGGTAACAGCATTTTTTAAGAGAAAAATTTACTTAATTACAAATAGAACTCCAAGAGGAATGTTCTCATTTTGTTTTATGCTCAGAGTAAAAGATTCAGAGTATTAGATTTTTAATGGGGTTATCACTTCTTTTTCCCAAAGAAGTAAGATAGTTAACATTATACCCTTCTCTAAGACAATGATTATTCATAGATTAAAAGAATTTCAGGGATTGGAGTAAGCCTTAAATATTACCTATTCCACCCTACTTCTATTCAAAGACCAAATTCCCACTATAAAAATCCCAGCCATGTGGTAAAATGGCCTCTGTCCAAACACCTCCGCCAGTGAACACATTATTTCTTGAGGTAGCCCCTTAATTGTTCATATGAGGCCAAGAAAGTTCTTCCGTATGTTGAAATGATGTCCTTCTACATTTTCCTTTATTGGTCTTAGCTCTCACCTCTGGAGCTACCCATTACAGGTCTAATCCATTTTTCATATGACAGTGCTTCCGGAAGTTGGAAATAGTTACTGCACCCCTTCAATTTGGATATTCCCAGAGTTTTGTTTTTGTTTTTTTTTTTATTGTTCATCATATGACAGAGCTCCATAACCTCTTTACCTTCCTATGGATACACTCCAGTTCTCAATAACTCTTGTTAATGCTAGTGTTAAAACAAATGTAATATTCTAGGTGTACCTGACCAGCCCAGAGCAGAGGATAGAGCTTTCTTCCTTGTGAACAGAATATTAATGCACGGTAAGATCACATCGGCTTATTGATAGCACCATAGCTTTTTAGCCTGACACTGAGCTCACAGATATGTCAGATCTCCCTAGTCTGTATTTGAGAGGTTGGTGTTTTGGATCAAGTGTAAGACTTCCTATTTATTCATGTTAAATGTTATATTTATTACATAGATATGCTTGCAGACTGTTATTTTTTGGATTCTGGCTTTGTCACCTAATGTTTTTTGTCCTCTCTCCTAGTTGAAGTGATTCAACTAGCAAGAGATGGCTCTTTGTGTATGCTAGTTACTAATCCTAAATATACTAATTTAGACAGTGTTGGAACATTTTGATTACTGCCCATAAGTCTGATTGAAGGATTTTGAAAATAGTAAAGGGAAAATGTGTAAATTTTTGCTCTTTAGAATTAACCCAATGAAATTAACCAGCTTTATTTGTGACCGACAGAAGCCAAAAAGCCCACTTATATTTCTGCATGCTTACAAATGAAATCAGTTTAGTTATTTGGCTTTTCTGGACAGATAAACCATTTTATAGTATACATAATGATAAGATTTTATGTTTGCTTTAGTTTGCTAGTTCTAAGACATCTGGGTGCATAGTACAGAACATACAGTTATTTTAGAATTTAATGCAATTAGCTGCTCTAAGAGACATTGTGACATTTGAAATCTTATCACCTCCAAGCTGATTTAATGGAAACCAGGTGGGCAGGTTGCTGGCACCTGGATGCTTTTATGGCACACCTTCATAAAAGGACTACCCTAAGTAAGAACACATCCGAAGTGTAGCTTTTCAGCTTGGGATCATATAACAGATGGAGAACATATCACACTTTTTGAAGTGAGAAAGCTGACATAACAGCTCTAACCACATTTTACCAAGATGTATCTGATGACTATGTAGTTAAAAACATTTCATTTTAAATATAATGGTGCTAGTTACCCCTGCCATTTGTATTAATGGTGTCACTCACCTGAGGACTACACTGAATAAAGTTTTCAAAAATATCCAATTGATGCAACTGATCTATTCAAGGTAGAAAAATCTCACCAGATAACTTTAGCTTTGATTGGATAATTGTATTACTTCCACTCCACATTCTGTCTTGGCATACAATTATTACTTTGTTAATATTGATTTGAAAAACTGTAAAAAAAAAAAAGAATTTGAAAATCAAGTGGATCAGCTTTATAAAGAAAATGCAACCAATAAATAGTTACCAAACTCAAACTACTGTCTTGGTGATCTTGACTTGAAGTCTACAGAATCTGTAAAGATGACCTCCTTTAATAAAAAA